TGTGTGTACTTCTGGTCTCCATGTCTGCCTCAGTTTGTGTGATTGTGTATGGTCTGATCTCTTCTGTGTCCCTATGCCTGTCTGTCTAGTCCCTGCCTTCCTGGGCTATTAGGAGAGTCCCCGGTGGTAGCCAGGCTGGGATTTCCTTCTTGGGGCACATGGCTGGTTTCCCAGCAGAATGAACTGGCTTCTCACCCACAGCCCCTCGAGGGTCTTCCCCATCCTCTCGTGCTTCCACTGTACTTAGCAGGGAAACACCATTTCCTGCCTTTGATGTCACTGATTAAATTTTCCCTTCTTCGAACGGTTCAGGCTGACAGTTTCTTTCTTCGTGTGTGTGTGCAGACCTGACCACAGTTCCGTGCTTAACATCAAAAAAACAAAACAAAGCAAAGTACATGGAAAATGCAAATCGCAAAAGCATGTACAGTGAAAACACCACGTTCTTGACTCCTTAACACCTCCCTCTAGAAGTTTTAACATAACTTCTAGAAATACACTATGCAAATATATCTCTCCTCTGTAATAAAAACCCATGTTTTGTATGTGGCATCCTGCTCCTTACTACTCCATGGCTTGATTGTGAATCTGATAGTTTTTCTTTCCATGACAATTTTTGGCTATTTCCGTTCTAACGCTTCTGTAATTTCAGTCTCTCTATTTGCCCAGATCTTCACACTGGTTTTTGGGCTATGGAGGTTCATTCCAAGTGCAACCCTAGAATGCAGTCACATGCTGACACCGAATCTTCAGCCTGCTACCAGCAATGATGACTAATCCTACTTGAGTACTTACTGTATTCCTGGTTCAAGAGCAACCCTAGAGTGCAGTCACATGCTGACACCGAATCATCAGCCTGCTATCAGCAATGATGACTAATCCTACTTGAGCACCTACTGTGTGCCTGGTACTGGTCTGGCTCTGTATTCTGGATACTAATCCTATAAGGTGGTCTTTGGTATTAGCCACACTTCCCAGACAGGAAAAGCAATGCACAGAGGTGAAGGAATATGCTCAACATCACCCAATTGGCAAAAGGCAGAACTGGGATTGAATGTCAAGTGGTTTGGATCTTGTGTTATTGCTGTTCCTCAACTAGAAACATACCTGTGAGTACATGGAGCCCCCTTTATGGTTCCTGAATATGCAACAGCATATTGGAAACACACAATTCCAGGGTAGCCGGATGTGTGTCCCAACTCTGCAAAACTTACTTTGTGCCAACATGCCTTCTAATGTTTATACTGGTGCACACACTCTCTTGCTGAGTCTGCGTTTTCCCAGTTTCTCCGGGGTTGTGGCGGCTTGACTTTTTCCACTTTTTCAGAGACTTGACTAACTTGGATGATGTACTTTAACAGCTCAAGACCAAGCTCTTTCCATTTTCTCCCCCTCCATTAAAAAAAAAAATTCTCAGTTCACACCCTCACCCCACTTGGTTCCTTGCTTACTCACTTTCTTAATATCGTACTTGCTCAGTAAAAAGCAAATTCTGGTAGACAGAGGATCCAGGCCAACCAATTGTTGGCAGAGGGGAGATGGGTTTTGCTGGGAAAAGTAGGAAAAATCAAGGCATACTTCTTGGAGGAGGTGCCTATTTACTGGGCCTCAAAGGCCAAAGAGGAGTGCTCCCCCTCTAATTACTTTCTGCCTAATTCTTCCCTTGAGTCTCATGACGATGAGAATGGGGATTCGACCTTACCACTAAAAAGGAGGTAAAGGGCCAGCACCCATTTGGGGAGAGAGCTGAGCACAGAGGTGTGATACCATCGAACGTGATGTACTAGGAGGATGACGCCAAGCGCTCCCTGGTGGGAGGGGCCACCCGGCTCAGATGTTCTGACCACAGCAGCACGTCATGGTGCTCCCAGGCTGCGGCCTGAGCCTTCCTCAGCCTGCTTGTTCCTTGCCCTGGAGTGGGTGTATAGAACTCTGCCAACCCCTCAGCATAGAGAGGAATTCAGAACAGTCACTCTTCTGAGTCCTTGGGTAAGTGCCTTCACCTTTTGGGGTCTTGGTTTCTATGCCCATGTATTGGAGGTGATGGTATACTAGAGTTGTACAAAAGATTCAAGGATCATAATGACGCCAGCTCACCATTACTAAGTATTTACTCTTTGCCTGGCACTGCTTGCAACCAGTTTTCAATCACTCTTTGAGAGCTATTATTATTTAACAGATATGAAAATTGTGGTTCAGAGAGGTGAAGCAGCTTGCCTGAAACCACACAGCAAGAAATCTGAGAATTGAAATCTAAGAGTCTAGAGAGGAGGCAGGATATTTTTCTCTGATAGGAGTCATAGAGAAAATATTTTGGGTTTTGTGAACCAGACAGCTTCTGTTATGAGCCAACTGCACAGGCAAGTATGTACATGAATGCACAAGGCTTTGTGCCAATAAAATTTTATTTGTGGACACTGGGGTTTGAATTTTATGTAATTTGCACATGTCTTGAAACATTCTTCTTTTGACTTTTTCTAGTCACTTTAAAGCTAAGACAAATATTTTGTAGTTCATGGATTATGGTTTGTTGCCCTCTGGAAGCTGTGCTATTAACAAGAATGCTATTTCATTCATTCAGTAAATATTATAGAGACTGCAATTTTCTAGGCACTTGAGGTAGAATGAAAACAAAGCAGACGAAGTTATTCTTTAGGAGACAACAATTTCATGGGGAAAACAATTATAAGCAAGTCACAAGACTATTTCAGATGCTGGTAAGAAAATCCAATATAAATAGGGGCTTTAGGGTGGAACACTTTCATTTGGATTATCTGAGAAGGTGCCACTTATAGTCCAACTTCTGGTGAATTTGGGTGGTGTAACTAGGGGCCTGAGGGGTTTATTTGGATTGTCTGAGAAGGTGCTAGAACTCCAGATTCCACTTTCTGTCCTTTAGGTGAGTTCAGGCAATCCTTGGTTGTGACCTGCTGTGGGGTAGCACTTAATAATCAACAGACTAGCCCATGGCCTGAGCTTATTGGCAGGGTGATATGTGCTCTTGTATCTTTAAATATTTCTTTCTGGCTCGCCAGATTTCTCCAAATGGCAGTGGATCTTTCACCATCTCATCCTGTGGGTCCTGAATGTTGAGTGGCTATGAGGGTTGAGGTGGGGGAAAATTTAGCTCCTGTATTCAAGTTCACAGGTTTACTTAACACTTGTTTTCAGCATGATTCTTCTACCCTTAACTGTATTCTTCCACCAGAAACTCTGCTATTTCCGTTCTCTTGAGGAAAAAAAAAAAAGAAGGTTGCTTTTCCACTCTGATGACAAGATCATCTGGTGTCTCTGGCAAATTTATTTTGAGCAAACATTTCAATTTTAGTTGCTACTCACCACACTGTCTTTCAGAGTTGGTAGAGTCACCAAAAACTATTTGGAGAGTGGTGGTGGAATTCTGCTAAGGGAATTCTATTTGGCTTTTTACCCTGCTTGCTTACAATTTCAGTTTAAGGTTTAAAACTATTGGCAGCTCTCCTGCATTCCTCTCATTTTCTCTCTCCTTTTCCAACTAAACCTGCCCTTTAAAATGTTAAACAAACAAACAAACAAATAAATAAAACCATCACTTAATTACAGTGGAGTTTCAGGAGAGAGTGAGGTAGGGGCTGTGTTCATCATCTCTGCCCAGAAGCCTGGTAGGAGCCAACTGTCTGCTTTGAGGCAGGGGTTCTCAAACTTGGGCCAGCATCAGTATCCTGTGGAGGGCTCATTCAAACCTGGATGGTGGGGTTCCGGGGTTTCAGGAGGTGTGGGCTGAGTTGCTAAAGTTTGCATGGCGAAGTCTCCAGGTGATGTGCCCTTGGTTTGGCTAGCTCACTTCATAAACCATGGCGTCATGGAAACATTTAGCACCTGCGTATGTACATGAGCTAGTATGACTGTTTTCACCCCATAATTCTGCAGGGAAACCCAACACAAGACCCAATACAGATAACACTTGTTCAGTTGAACCAAAGTCCGGCCCCACCCCCCACCCCCCCATTTCCTGGGCATTGAGTCCTCTGGCTGAGAGTTAAGATCAATTGTCTCATCCACCCTCCCATTTTCCATAAGGGGAGGGGGAGCTGGGGAGGCTCAGGGGCCTGGCGGGTCCCCCTGGATGGTCTGGCCCAGCCCATTTCTCACACGGGGCGCAGCTTCCCCTTTCCGGCGGGCCTGTGCTGGCCCATCTCTGCTCCTCCTCCCTCCGCCTCTGCCAGGGGAGAGCCAACTAACGGGAAATTTGAATTTCCTCTGTCTTACTCAAGACTGTCTCCTTCCTCCACGGGGATTTCTCCACTTGGACTCTCCAGCCTGCTGCTGTGGGGTCCACAGAGGGCTCCTAAGGGGAAGCAGCCAGGCAGGTGGGTGGGGGGTAGCCCGGGAACCCCAGGGTTGGGGGAAGACACATTTCCACTGGGGGCTCATACTCCACAGAGAAGGGGGCTGAGGCCTGGCTAGCCTCTGGCCCTTCTGCAGAAGAACTGGGTTTAGGGAAACCTTGGTGGAACCCCAGTAATGGAGTGGCAACAGTAAGGGGTGGCCACAGGAGTGGAAAGAGAGATACTGAGCTACTCAAAATGCCAGAGAGAGAGAGAGAGAGAGAGAGAGAGAGAGAGAGAGTCATAGACAGGGGGAGACACGGAGGGGTGCAGAAATAAGGGGGCCAAGGAATAAAGGCACCCCCGACCCAAAGCAACCCCAGACAAGAGACCAAGCGGGACATCCAGAGAAAAGGGCCAATCAGAATTCCAGAGAGGCAGACATAACCGGGGAGACAGGGGGAGAGAACCTGGGAGAAAAGAGAGAGTGGAGCAGAGCTTGGGGGACGAGGGCCAGACGCCGAGAGTCGCAGGAGAGAAAGTCAGGGCGGCGGGCCCGGTGGTGAAGCGGGGCGGAGGGGGGGCGGAGGGGGGGCGGGATCCCCACCAGCTCCGCCCCGGAAAGCTGGGCTCCGGGGCGGGGTATAAAGCGGGGCGCGCGGGGCTCCGGGCCGCAGTCGCCTGCCTCTGGTCATGCCCTGCCCCGCCAAAGCCGCCCGGGACCCCGAAGCGCAGCGGCCGCCCGAGCCCTCCGGCCGCGCCTGCCACCCGCTGCCCTGGGCGCTGAGCGCCGCGCTGCTGCTGCTCTCGGGCACCGGCGCGGCCTTCGTCGCCTGCACCTGGATCTGGCCCCGGGACCCCGCCGAGCCCCGCCGGGACCCCACGCCCAGCCCGACGCGGCCCGAGGTCCCCGAGGCGCAGCCTGGCCCCTGCGCCCGCCTGGACTCCTCGCAGGTGAGTGCGCCCCGACTTGGGCTCGCCGGAGAGCTCCTTCCCCGCCCTCTGGAGCCCCTTCTGCGTCTTGCCGCCGGGAGGCCCCGTTGCGTCCTGCCCCCCCCCCCCCCCAGGTGGGAATCTTATTTTCCTCCCGACCTTTTGATAAAATTAATTAGCCGGCCTATTACCTGTCTGTGTAACTTTGGGGGTACATGTGACCACATCCATAGTACACGTGACTATTTGCCTCCCACCAAAACATGACTCCACCTTCCAGCCAATCTCCGGTGCCAGTGACTTGTTGGAGGGACGCCTCTTTGTCCTGATCCATTTAGGGGATCCCCCTGTCTTTCCTAACTCCCTGAGAACCTCAGTTTTCTCCAGGGCCCTGTCTTCCTTCTGCTCCCGAGGCTTCCCTGTTCCCGGCCCCCCTGGAGCGCTCCCTCCTGCAACCTCAGGGGCGGGAGTGGGGTCTCCCCTTGCTCTCCCCTTGCGGACAGCCTGGGTTGGGACAGGTTGAGCCACCAACTTCGGGCGTGCGTCTGTTCCTTTGGAGAAGAGGGGCAGGGTAGGTAGGCTCGAGGCCTGTGCCAACCTGCTCCCCTGCCCGCCCCCTTTCCTGGGAACTGCCAGTGCCGGATGGGGGACACTCACCCACTTTCCCCCTTTCTTCTCTCTTCAGGGCTTGTTCGTGCAGCTGGTGCTTAAAGATGGTGAGTGTCCTGCGCCACTCCCCTGGGGCGGTGGGGGGGCACTGACTAGGAGTGGGGGGGAGGGAGGGTTTGGTCACTGACCCCCCTTTCTGAAAGCTGTTCCTTCACCCTTTCCAGCCTCGGCTGTCCCTCTTCCAGACTTTCCCAGAACTGCTGTCTCCTTCTCATCCCATCCCTGCTGGGGCCTGATCCTGCACCTCACGTCCTGGGGGGGCCTCCTTCCCACTCATGTGCCCTCCCTCCTTCCGAGGCCCCGTAACCTCCGTCCCCCAGACTCTTCCCTCCCTCCCTGCGCCCCCACTGGATGCCCTTCCCCACCCTCCTCCTCGCCCTCCGCTCCCCACCACTTCCAGATTCTTACCCTCTTTGCTCTCTGCAGACCCTCCCTCTACCCCTCCCCATTCTGACGCTCCTGCCACCCTGCGCCCCTCTCTTTCCTCCTGCGTCTTCCCAGGAGACCCTCCCCTCTGCCCCTTCCCCCTTCCAGAGTCTTCTCCCCACCCTCTCCCCGTCTTTCTCCCCTGCCCCTTCCAGAGATGCTTTCCCACCCTCTTCCTCCCCCTCTCTGTCTCTGTCCCACCTTGCCCCCCCCATGTCCCCTCCCTCAGCAGGTCTCTCCCTCCTTCCACCTCTCCTGCTCCCCACCCCATTCTGTGGGAGCCTCTACCTAGGGAGTCCCCTTAGACTTCCCCAACTCCTCCCGGCCTGGCCTCTAGTCCTCCTCCTGGACTGGCCCCCCACTCCTCTGCTCACCAGACCCCCCTTCTTCCTCCCCCAGTGCAACTGGCCGAAGGACCCCTGAGCTGGTGGAGCAGCCCCGGCATGGAGGGCGTGTTCCTTTCGCCCGGCCTGCGCTATGAGGAGGAGCCGCGGCAGCTGGTGGTGCAGGAGAGTGGGCGCTACCACGTCTACTTGCACCTGGAGCTGCAGCGCGTGGTGATGGTCAGAGAGGATTCTGCCTCCCGCTCCGGCTCCGTATCCGCATCCCTGCAATTGCAGACACCGGACTTTCAGAAAGAGGCCCTGCCCTTGACCTTGACCTTGCCGCCTCTCTCCTGGGCCAACTCAACAGCTGCTTTCCAGAGTGGCCAGCTGGATCTGGTCGCCGGCCAGCGCCTGAGCGTTCACCTGAAAGCCTCCGAGCAGAAGGCGTACTCCCACTGGCAGCTCTCCAGGAAGACAGTCTTGGGCCTCTTCCGCGTGACCACCAACGTCCCCCCTGAACGCCTCTCACAGCAGTCCACGTGACACCCCACCAGTTGCTGTCCCCCCCTCACCAATGGAGACTGAGCCCTGCCTTTCTTCTTTGGGGTCCCCGGTGATGGGGCACCCCCTACTCTACCTCATCTAGCTGGGCAGGGGTTCTCGCTGCTGACCGCTCTTGGAGGACTCTCCAGGTCACTATCACTCCTGCCCCGAGTGGAACTCTTGGTATTTATTCTGAGTCTGAGCTCGGACAGTATTTTATATTAATGCATTCAACTTATATTTATTGGCATCTGCTACCGTGCAGGGCTAGAGAAACACCAGCAAACAAAACAGGCCCAAAAAATCCTTATTTATGTTAATATATGAAAAATAAAGACTCATCCCCAGCCCCCCCTTTGGGATTCATGGGGTTAACTTTTGGGGTCCACCTAACTGCTGTGTGAGTTTCATTCATTCATCCTAACTTTTATTGAGCATCTACTGTATATCAAATGCTGTTTTAGATGTTGGAGACACAGCTGTGAGCAAGACAGACAAAACCACAGTTTTGGGCAAACTGACAGTCTGGCACCGTGGCCATGACTGTGTGTGGTAGCTGGGCCGTGTGGGAGCGTGTGGGGAGCGTGCGAGATGGTATATGGTCCCGGATGATACAATATTTATAAACTTAATGACTACTTGGTATTTATTATATGCCAGACAGTGTGAATTATCTTTTAGAGACGCATAACTATAACTACCCTATACTTTAGGGATTTTATTATTCCCACTTTACTCTGTGTGCCTCGGGTTATTTCATTGTTTCTGTGTGATGGAAATACTGCATCATGCCATCCTGCAGGGCATTGCTTTCCAACTGTGCTCAGTGATGTCACACTAACGAATGTTTACACTGCAGGGATCTGCAGATAGTTCAGGTCGGGTCTGAGTTTTCCTTTGTTGGGCCTCTTGAGTGAGTGGAGAGAATGATGCTAAATATGCAGATTAGACTTTAAATGTGTCTCGTCAATAACTGTTACCTGTGAATAACACACAAGAACTTGAGGAAGTCGTTTAGTGTTTTCAAACCATTATCTGATTTAGTGAAGAAGTTGCTGACAGCAGGCGCAGTGTGGTCATGCATGCTTGTTTCATTTCATCTTCGTCTTCAAAGCAACACGATCTGTGTTCACTTGTTTGTCACTTGCAGCCATGGCTGGACTGGGTACAAGAGTGGGAACCTCAAAGATGCATGTTGTGAGCACTAATGGAGTATATAGAATGTGCAATGAAGAACATATTTTATTATTTATAAGTAGTATCTGCACATCATTTCTGCCAGTACAATTTATAATAAACACACATATTCATTTACCCCCTGTCTAGAGAGCTAACTGTTAAACATTTATTGCACCCCACTTCCTCTCCATTCTTTTTTTAAATATTATAAAGATTTATTTATTTATGCATACAAGAACTGGGCTACAGGCCAGAGGTGCAGAGGGTGAGAGGATTCATCAGAGACAGAGTGGGGAACAGAACAGGCAGACAGATTGAAATACACTGCTGAGGGGAGCAGCAGCAGGCGAGACAGAAGAGGTCTGCCTCGCCATGTGGGTTTCTCCCCGGCCGGCCGGGGATTGAACTGAACCAGAGGCTGCGGATTGCTTCACAGTGCTGTGCTTAACCCCTTGCTCCACCAGGGAGGCCCTTCCTCCCCATCTGACTAGTTCCCCATGGCCTCACCAAACAGACAGTTTGTCAACTGGTCCATACCAACCAGCTGGGTGTTGACTTCTTACAGATGTAGGACAGAAGGGGCTGAGTTACAGAGAAGTGTATCTTGATGGGTCTGAAAGGGTGGGGGTAAGGAGTGCGTCAGAGGTGGGAGTGTGATATGGAGGTGAGAAATATTTGCGTGACTTATCTCTATTCTTTTTTTTTTCTTAGGTCATCAATGTTTATTCTCAGAAAGATTGTAACTCTTTCTTTCACAATGGGCACACCCTTACTTTCGGTCACTCAAATAAAACAGCATGCTCTCTACTCCTTCTTAAAGAGTTTGTTCTCCATGTTCCTCCTGCGTGGACATTGCTGACAGCCATCCATATGGCCATACTGGTCATTAAAATGTCATTAAACTGGGCCTCCTGGGTGGCGCGGTGGTTGTGGGCTGGGCTGCCCACAGCCTCTGCACACCGGTTCGATCCTCGGCCGCTGGCGAGGGTCCCACAGGGTGCACAGACCTCTCCTGCTGTGCCCGCTGCTCCCCTCAGCAGTGTATTTCGTCAGTCTGCCTGTTCTGTTCCCTGCTCTGGCTCTGGTGAATTCTTTCACCCTCCCGTGCTTCTGACTGTACCCAGTGCTTGTATAACTAAATAAATAAATCTTTAAAAAGATATAAAATGTCATTAAACTAGTCCCATACTAGTTGGTAAATGCCTATTCATCCCCACCCCCATTGCCAGACGCTTCTTCTGGACCACTAGGATGACCCTGAGATACATCATCCAAAGCTGTAACCCCCAGGGTTGGTGGGGGAAGAGTGGTCCACAGGTCAGCATCAAATCTGATTGGTTCAGTGGCCAGATCTGTCACAGGTTACTGGGTCTTGCCTATTTTGAATAGCAGCCCTGGCGCCAGATGATGTCACTCCTCTGGCACAACTGATTGGGCCAGGGCGATCACATGATTCAAGCTGGGCCAATTAGATCTCCTCAGTAGGAATGCAGCAGGCCTGGCCCCCCCAAACCACATTAGTAAGGAATTGGAAGATGTAAGAGAGAAGCATGAAAGAGGAAGATGAGACTGTAGAGCTCTCGCCAGGAGAGCAGCTTAGTTTCCTACTTGCCTCTCTCCAGTGACATGGCTGCCCCAGGGTGCTCGTTTCCTAGGCCTGTCCTAACAGGGTTCCAAACTGGGTGGCTTAAAACAACAGATGCCAGGGCCACCCCTGGTGGTGCAGTGGTTGAGCTCTGGGCTGAGAAGCTGCCTGCAGCCTCTGCAGCGCCGGTTTGATCCCTGGCCCCTGGCGAGGGTTCCACACGGCGCGCAGGCCTCTCCTGTCTCACCCGCTGCTCCCCTCAGCAGTGTATTTTGTCAGTCTGCCTGTTCTGTTCCCCACTCTGGGTCTGGTGAATTCTCTCACCCTCCCATGCTTCTGGCAGAATCCAGTGCTTGTATAAATAAATAAATATTTAAAAATAAAATAATTAAAATTAAAAACAAAAACAAAAACAACAGATGCCACCTCACAGTTCTATAAGTCAGGACTGTGGAACTTGTGGTCAAATCAACTAGTCAGCAAGGTCACACTCCCCAAAGACTCTAGGGAAGATGCCTTCCCCACCTCTTCCAGCTGCTAGGGGTTGCCTGCCATCCTTAGTCTTACTTGCCTTGCAGAGAAACCAAACAAATGGAAAACTAAACAAAATGAAAATAAACTTATATATTTTAAGGCCAAATTAGAGTTTACCACGAGGGGAGGGGGAAGCTAAGTCAGGTAAAAAGGGGCCTCCTGGGCCTCCCCTGGTGGCACAGAGGTTAAGCTCTGGGCTGAGAGGCTGCCTGCAGCCTCTGCAGCACCTGTTTGTTCCCCAGCCACCGGCGAGTGTCCCACAAAAAAAATGGGGGGCTTCCCTGGTGGTGCAAGGGGTTAAATGTCAGCACTATGAAGCTATCACCTCTCCTGTCTCATCCACCTGCTGCTCCCCTCAGCAGTGTATTTCAGTAGATCTGCCTGTTCTGCTCCCACTCTGTCTCTGGTGAATCCTCTTACCTCCCCTCACCTCTGGCCTGTACCCCAGTTCTTGTATGCATAAGTAAACAAATCTTTAAAAAATAGGGTCACTTGGGGCCTCCCTGGTGGCACAAGGGGTTAAGCACCGCACTATGAAGCAATCTGCAGCTGAGTTCGAGCCCTGGCTGGCCAGGGAGCAACCCACATGGCAAGGCAGACCTCCCCTCAGCAGTGAACTTCAGTATATCTGCCTGTTCTGTTCCCCACTCTGTCTCTGGTGAATCCCCTCACCCCCTGCATCTCTGGCCTGTGCCCCAGCTTTTGTATACATAAATAAATAAATTTTTTTTTTTTAAAAAAGGGTCAATTGTTTTAAGGCTAGGAGAGGACTTCTAGGGGTGAACTGACTGTGGGATATACAGATGTTGATATAATGATGCACACTTGAAACTTAATGTTATAATCAAATGTCACTTCAATAAAAACATTTAAAAAAGGGACATTTGGAGACAGAGATACACATCCAGAGAACATTGCATGGATGTGATGGACAGCTACAAGCCAAGGAAAGTCAGGCCTGAAACAGATTCTTCCTTCAAGGTAAAGCTTTGATTTTGAACTTCCAGTAAATTTCTATTGTTGAAACCAACCAGTGTATTACAAAAGCGTTAGCAGACAAATCCAGAGGGTTCAAGGATGGATGCCTTTAACACACCTCAGTGCACAGTGCCTGGCCCTTGGTAAATACTCAGCAAGTCTGGGCTATTATCAGAACACCAAATAGATGAAACAATGTTACATAAACACAGTGATGCAACACAGGGGATGTTGAGTTGATAGACAAGGTCAGCCATAAAAAGTATGTAGTGAAAATAGACAGGCTGTAGAAGAAGTAGAACAAGAACAAAACAATGTAAAGATGGAATTCTCAAGAAGTGACGCAATATGCAGTGGTTCTATAGTAACTAAGGGCCTGTTACAAAGAAACAATAGTTTGCAGGTGAGAGGTTACAATGACACAGCCATGATGTAATAAAGCCAGCCTTGCCTAAAGCGGGTACACTGTAGGGGAGGCTGACAATGGCAGCCTTATCTTGATTTCTACTTTAATTTTGCTCCTTTTGTCCCAGATTTGCCTGGCCCCTCACTCCCCCATCCTATGGATTACCACCCCCTCACCCCGCTCCACAAGGTACCTTAGACATGCAGCAAGCTTTCAGGCCTCAGTGACCCCGCTTTGGGCTAACCCTGTTTGGCTGGACATCTACCCACAAGGGGATGGGTGACTTTGGGTGTTTTATTGGGAAATTATTATTATTTTTTTTAAGATTTATTTATTTATTTATACAAGCACTGGGTACAGTCAGAAGCACGGGAGGGTGAGAGAATTCACCAGAGCCAGAGCGGGGAGCAGAGCAGGCAGAAGGATGAAAGCACACTGTTGAGGGGAGCAGTGGGCGGCAGGAGAGGTCTGCGCGCCCTTGCCAGGCGGCCGGGGATTGAACCGGTGCTGCAGATAGAACCGGCGCTGCAGAGGCTGCGGGCAGCTTCGCAACCCAGCGTTCAACCGCTGCACCACCGGGGAGGCCCTTATTGGGAAATTATTATCTTCTTTCTCTAGGTACACTAATCCCATTAAAGTTCTTTTATGGTAAATATGCTTTGTGTGCACAGATGACCAGACCCCTTTAGAGTATACAAGTTTGGGGGTTCTGGGTGCCCCTTGGTCATGTCCTAACAATTACCTAGAAGTGGGATTGCTGGATCATACAGAGCAAGCATTTTAGAATTACACATAACTGTTCAAACTCTGCTTTTGCCAGTGCTAGCTAAGCTGTGCATACTTGGGTGAGTGCTTTGCTTCTCTGGGATTAGTGCCTTCAATTGCAAAACCGGACAAAAAAAATTGTATCTCATGGGGTCTTAGAAGTATTTAGGAGTTAATACTTAGAAGTATTTGTGAGTTAGTGGGTTTAATAGCACAGTGCCTGACACTTGATTTGAGAGGTAGAAGCTGTTACATTATTGGGTCATGGGTAGATGATATATAAAGCCTGAAGTCACCCCAGGTAAAGAAAGGGTTTAGGGATGCGAGTTTCAAGTAGGAAGGGCAACATGTGTGAAGTACTGGAGGTAGGAGAGTGGCCAGGGTAATGCAAGATGGGGGTGAGCACATCAATAGGGGGTCACAGCATGTAGGCTTAAAGATGCCAGCCACAAATTTATCCTGGTAACAGTATTATGAAGACAAAAGGTCAGATTAGCTTGTTAAAAGATCTCTCTGGCAGGGATTAGAGTTTGAAATTGGGGCAAAATACTGAAGGCAGACAGCGAGTGAGAATCACTGTGGAATCACTCAGGTGAGAGGGGGGAATTTTGGGGTGAGGCTGACTGTGAAGATGGAGAAGAGTTGAAAGCTATAAGGGGAGTAGGAATTGGCAAGACTTTGGATATGGGTGAGAAGGAAGAGCTGACTTGCTCTATGCAACTAGAAAAATGCTGGAGGCAGTCATGGATTTGGGGACTCTGGAAGAGCACAGGTCACT